CCACGCTCGCCGAGTCGAACATTGAACACGGAGTCCGGAGCAGACGCAGAGTCCTCGGCCTTGACCCGCCACCGTTCCGTGATCGAGAAGTCAGCGACGCCCCACCTTTCCAAAAATCCGCTCCGGAGTTCGACAACAGGCATCCCTCAGCCATCATCGAACGCGCCAGCCGACGACGCGGGTGCCATCGTCCCCAGTTCGCGCTCGCGGCATGCGTCGGGCGACCCGGTGAGCAACGAGAGATGGATCCACCGCCTGAGGGAACTGGAGAAGCGATTGAAGGCGGAGCGGGAGGCGCGTTTGCTTGATCGCAGCGGAGCTCGCAAGCGGCTCGAGGAGCGGGATGCGGAGAACCAACGGCTCCGTGCTCAGCTAGAGAGACAGCGCATGCGGCGAGGCCTGTCGGCAGAGACCTCGACCGACGGCGATTACGATCACGGTCGAGTCCGCAAATCAGAGCACTCCGATCCGAGCAACGATGGTGATTATGGCCGTCGTAGGGATGAGGAGCTGAGCTCGAGCGAAGGAGAAGGGATATGTGTGGATATTGAAGTTTAAGCTCGACGCACAATTCCTGCCTCTTTTAGCATCGTCACTTTTACTTGTTCGTATTCTCCTTGACATATGATTTTTTTTTGCATCTCTAGCGGCTGCTTTGTTATTTGTGCGCTCAAGGATGTCGTTCGGTTGAACGTTATGTCATGTCATGCCATGCTTTTATACTGGACTTGATGTACTATATACCCCTTGGTTCTTGTTGATTTCTTGGGATTGATAAATCCGGGCTGTGCATAGCTGAGGAGTAATTGTTCACAAATTCGACGACAGTCGATTGAGGTCACTATCGGATGCCGGCGCATCTTCTACTGGCTTGTGGCCTTATGGATAGACTGTAGATGGACACCTCGAAAGGTGCGATGACATCTTGTTTGCTCGCGACACAATAAGCCCAAGCAAGCCGCGACATTTGGAAATCAGTAATCCATTACAAGTCGGTTCTGGGGTCTACTCCGCCCTTTACGGAGATTATGCTCAGTGTCATGGGGAATGATACAAGCCGAGAACGCCCGTGGCTGTTCGCCAATGCCATATACAGAATTAAACCAACCCACATACACAAAACCCATCTACCGCAGCGACACCTTGAGTGAAAAGTCCACGATGGGAGTCCCCTGGTGGATGGAGCTGGTTGAGAGGATGTCCACATCGGGACAGGCATAGGCCGCGGCGTTGGACTCGGTCAGACCGCCGCTGACCTCGACGAGGAACGACTTTTGCTTGCCGGCCCACTCCTGCTTGAGCTGGCGGGCCGCGTCACGGACGCCCTCCGGGCTGAAGTTGTCGAGCATGACGACGTCGGCGCCGGCGCCAATCGCCGCGTTCGCCTCCTCGAGACTGCGGCATTCGACCTCGACTTTCGTCGAGAACCCGCCCGTCGCCTTGGCCGCCTGGACGGCGCGGGGGATAGCTGCCGCGATTGACTGGATGTCGGCGGGGGCAGATCCTCCATCCGCGGCGGAGCGGTTGTTGGCGCAGGCCCAGACGTGGTTATCCTTGAGCATGGTCATGGAGCTCAGGTCGTGCCGGTGGGGGTCGGCGCCGCCGACGAGGAGGCCGTATTTCTCGACGACGCGGAAGCCGGGCGTGGTCTTGCGGGTGCCGGCGAGGGTGCCCTGCCAGCCGTGGGCGCGCAGGGCGGCCACGAGGGTGGAACTCTTGGTTGCGATGCCGGAGCAGCGGGCGAGGATGTTGAGGGCGACGCGCTCGCCGAGGAGGATCTGGCGAATGGGGCCGCGGACGGTGGCGCAGTGTTTGATCGGGTCGATGGATTCGCCTTCCTTGACGTGCCATTCGACTCTGCGAGCATCACTCATCAGCCTATTCTATTCCGTTCTGTATGCGGGGGGCTTTGTTGATAGGCATACGTGCAGCCCAATTGGGAAAAGACCTCGTCGAAAAAGGGTACACCTGCAACGACACCCTGGTATATGACTTAGCATATAGACATTTCCTACTATCAGATTGCATTCCAGGCTGCGTACCTTGCTCTTTCCCAGTAATCTTGCCTCGCCCTCTGACTCACCAACGACAAACCCACCATAGTCGAAGCTGGGGCAATCCTCCTCCAACCAAGCCGTGATGTGCCGCTTGTAGCTACTCGGTAGCAAATGCCGAAGATCTCCGTGGACCGATGCCATCTTGATATTGCTGTGCAAAAGTGCGGTTGAATCGCAGGTCTTCTTTTTCTAGTCACTGACCTCGGTCCGATAAGCCGGTCAAGACGACTTGTCTGGTGGTACAAGAACCGTGCAGCCCAATTGGCACGGATACAGACAGATGGGCGGTCCAAGAAAGAGAGTTGCTACTCGACTGAATTCTGCACGAGTATGCAAGAGAAAGGCGTCCCCAGAAGATGTATATCCAGCATAGAAGCGTCTTGCTATCGATCGACCCCACGCGGGGCATGATTCGGCAACATCCGGGGCGCGTCACGTGGATCGGCTGGTATCGGAGGAATCTCTGCTACGGGCATAACATCACATGACCTTATACCAATCCCAAGGTCGATGGATCAGCACTTTACAACAAGACTAGACGGGATTCGGGTGCAAGACTGCTCGTTTGTACTAATTAGGTAATATTGACACACCAGTCTCGACACGAGTCTTGGGTGTAATCACTTTGGCAAAGAAACAGAGCAAGGTATGTATCGTCAGGTCAAGAGTATGTAAAGTGTAAACATTTTGAAAGCTAACAAGTCAAGCAGGAAGACCAAAGCAGGATACGGATACGACGAGAAACTCAAAGCCAGCTTGGAGTCGAGAAATCAGGCCGCCCAAGAACACAGCCACGACTTGGCTCCTTATTGATGTACCTAACCGCGCTTACAAGGACTCAGGGATCGATCCCGCTGCTTTAGGCAACAGGATTCAATTGTTGTTGTTGTTGTTCAGAGTCTTGACCTTGAATCCTCTCACGCCTTGCTTATAAGTCGTATTCGCTTTCGCTGCGAGAGAGCGAGTCTGGCCTGTGAGGCTGGGACAAGCTGTCAGGCTCCTGCACGTCGTCCGCACGTACCATCTTCTGGCCCTCTGGTGGCACTATGTCGTATTCGCGAGACCTACCGGAGTATCGTATAACCAAGGCCTCATCCACTTGGTTGATCTGATAGATAGAACTGTCAACGTAGGTATTTATCAGTTGTAAAGCAATGTGTGGGGTAAGAGTGCAAACTGCCAAGCGCAACCAGATTCAAAGTCAATGCTGGTCTAGATGACTTCGTCGATGGTGCTAGCCCTTAAGACATCGAACAACCTCAAGTCCTCATAGTAGATACGCTTACACAGCCTCCTTGCGCCCTGGAAACCAACCTTATCCGTCCAGGCTCCAGATATGCAGTGCCACGCCGCACCTGGCTATTCGACTGTGACCTATCGGACTTAGGACATATGATCGGTTGCTGACCAGATCTCCAGATTGATAACTCCGTATTATGTCATGGACAGCTGGTGATTATGGCTGATGTGATCATGGTGAACACATCCGGGTTTGCATATGGACACTGTAGACAGGTCCTTCGGCGGAGTAAGTAACAAAATAGGTCATATTGGTATTTGTTATGTTCATCCCGCTTTTACTCTGGGGATGTCGATGACTGGACGAACCACAGGCCAAGCGGAAGGCATCTGATTCCAGCATTAACCTAGGATGGGCCTCCTGAAGTTCGTTAATAATAGTCCAAACTTTGAGCAGTAGAAATGCCAAGTTCAAAGGGAAGTTGAATGTCTCCGTTCCGGGTCCGCCAATCTTACCCAGCGCATTACACGGCAATCCTCTTTCCGTCCACGGTGCTGTACAGTGTACGCAGTACCTCTGTACAGACATGGTATCATTACGATACAGTAGTGAAATACAGCAGGCATTTCGTTTTCCATACCGTTAATTACTGCAAGGTATGCAATATATTTATTGAAATTCTGAAGTCCACTGGTTCAGGTATTTCTGCCCTGGCATCTCATGTATAGAGAAGTATGATGGCACAGGCTTTGATGATCACTTTGAATAGTAACTCCCGACATACACTACAGCCCGTTTAACTTGACGATCAGGACCTTCTAATACTAATATCAACACTAGAGTCCATTTCTCGTCTATCCTCATCGCCATCACTATGATCTATCCTCCGCGCTGATACGCCCTGCCAATCTACCATTGCGTCAGTTTGCCAAGAGTGCATGGTCATATGGCTTATGCACTATTGAATAGAATAGCACAGAAGACTGAGCACAGCCAGTAGAAATGTTCTCATAACCCAAGATCATACAGACGATCATTGCGCGCTAGAAGACCCATACTAGGCTTCGAGAAGCTCTTGGCATCTCAGGAACCGGAAATAATTGAGCCATTTTACACCAGAATAATACTACCTCCCTGTCGTGTTGGTACTTGTTACGGAGTATGGGAGTGGGATATGAGCCTTAAACCTATGTCCGTACTCGGTAGATGACAATGTTCCGCGGCATAATTGTCAACCTCAAGCAGGCGTAGCTCGTCAGATGGCCTGACAGACGCACTTTTGCGTCGATTTCAAATGGGTGGATCCTGACCATCGAACTTTTTCTCATTTCTACAATGGGCTTGGTCTCTGGGTCGGCCCAAGTGGAAACCAGTGAACCACAAATTCATTCGCTCTCTAGACTATTATTCTCTAGGTGAGGGACGCTTGAGGGTCTCTCGGATACATATCACGGAGATAAGGATAATCGGCACATAGCACCCTAGCTGCTCAAGGCACTTGGTCTTGGTGCCGCTGGATCGGATGATGCTGGCGGGCCCCGCGGGCGAAAACTGGCGAAAATCGCACATGGACTAGGTAGACTACGGAGACCGAACCACCGAATTAAACGACACAATAGGGAAATCTCATCAAGTCAATTTTGAGCCGTAGCCGAGAGTTAAGAGCCGAGATACAAGGCATGTCATGATGTCCCTTACAACGCTCATGCCTTCCAGGCCATGTACACGGTCTTGCATCCGAAAATCTGTCCCTTTTTCAAAAGCACCATTGGCCGCCATGCCGGCTCGTTGGGCGCATTGACATATCGGCTGGGTTCCACGCAGAAGCCAGCTCTAGCCACGCGCTGTGGCAGTCCGTCCATCGCGGGCACGTCGATGTATTTGCCCGTGTAGAACTGGAACGCGGGCTCGGTGCTGTGTACCTCCAGGTGCAGGCCCGTGTCCGGGTGGCTGAACTGCGCCAGCAGTTTCAAGGGCTGACTGCGCGAGTCCAAAACGACCTTGGATGGATCGGTCTCCATCAGGAACACATCGTCAATGTCAGGGTCGGCCGCGCCGAGGACGAAGGGCTTGGACACGTCCAGAGGGAATTTGTCGATGTTGCCAAGCGGGATGCCGGTGGAGTCGACGGGCAGGTAGTCGGCGGTGGACAATTGGGCCTTGGTGCCTTCGATGGTAGGGCCGTTGCCGAGGTTGAAATAACTATGCCCGACACAAATATTATCAACTATTGCGCTATGATAGAATCCTGTTCACAGCGTGCAACTGCAAACTTACCTATGGTTGGTCATGTTGACAACCGTCTCCTCACACTCGTCGCCCACAAACTCAACCTCATACTCGGTAGTTAGGACTGTCTTGGAGCTGGGACTGTCGCTATCCTCCTTACTGGCCGTGTACCAGACCCGCACTTCCACTGTGCCGGGAAAGCCTTCCTCGCCGTCCTTGCTGAGGTACTTGAACAGCAGGGCATCCTTGCCATCGCGCTTCACGGTCTGAGGGCCGTCAAAGACGCGCTTGCCCCAGCCTTTCTCCCCGCCATGTAGTGAGTTGGGCCCGTTGTTTTTGGCCAAGGTGTAGTCCCGACCATTCAGGTTTTGGATGACGGCATCCTTGATCCTGTTGGCCACGCGACCTATTGTTGCGCCAAAGTGAGGCGAGTTGTATTTATCATACTGGTCCTGGGTGTTGAAGCCAAGAACGAGATTCTTCTCTCCCACGCAGAACTCCTGGATGATGGCTCCGAGAGGCAGAAAGGTGAATCCAGATTCCCCAGACATGATGCTTGTCTTCCCGACCTGCTTAGGATCGTGTCACTGGTTGGAAATGGACAATAATAAAGTTGAGTTGTTGCAGAAACGCAAGTTGATATGGAGGAGGGGCAGATGTCTCAGCAGTAACTACGTAACCCCGCAACACGTCGATCAGAGTGGCAGGACGGGAAAAAGCACCGGAGCCTGAATTGAGATGAGGCACAGGCTGGTTTCAACATTTTGGATGTCTAATTGTCTAGTTGTCCTTATCTTCGACGGCTAAATAGTCATAGTATCCATTGCAAACTGCGAATTGACGAATAAAAGGTTGACATTGGAGGATGGGTTTGTCGATGACCGAGGGGGCGCTTTAGGCTAAAGATGTTGATGCTCTGCCTAATCCGGTAGATTTCCATGGGGTTGATGCCTGAGGCAGCACAATGCATTCTGAGCTTGAACTCTTTGGCATGACGCCGATGTTCAGTAGGGAGCATAGACCTTGTCAGACGCGTTTTATATAAAGAGCCTCCCCGCGCTTGGATACCCGGTATGAGCCTCAAACAGTCTATCCGAGGATTATTCTCGCTGAAAAGAGCATATGGGGGTATATTCGCCGTGCCCTTATGTAATATACCCCTATCATACCGTATCTGGATATTTCCTAGAATTGTTCTCTTCAAGAATGCCGACGGTCACGCTTGTAAGAATCAAGGTATCTAAAGTCTAAGAAGTACTTGAGCAGCTGACACAGTCAACAGACGTGGTATCTATCATCTAGTCTCTATTCTTCGTAGCCATGCTGTCAGTGCAAGTGTTAAGCATTCAAGCATCAGCACGGGTCGGTGATCACGGAGAGCGTCTACCCCGAACTTCCGAAATCCGAACCTGTCAGCTTGGGAGAAAATAAACCAATAATAGTACATGCATGGATACTCCGCCGTCCGTTCATTAAGCATCTGCGGAATACGAATGGCCTAGACTTCGAAGCTGAAATGATGATGACCGAATCCGAGAAGCTGTACTTTTAAGTTTCTCGAGTCCATGAGTCTCTCTCGCATGGATGGATGGGTGGATGATGGAGTACACCTTTCAGTGGCTAGCTGTATGGCTAACAACTGTATCGATCTGTTTGCTCCTAGTTCCCTACAAGGTACCACGAGAGTCTTTGTAAAGCACCGTGACTAATTACTGTTGTTGCGAGCTGAGGCTCCCTTACAAAGCAAAGCCAGTGACGGACGGAGAAGAGTGAGCGATGGACTGATGGTACCTGTTCCAATTTCCACGACCCATCGATGGGCAAGAACCCACTATTCGAAACCATTGTACTATGAGAATATCGGTACTTTGTCTCACTGTGCTCTCTCGATATGAGCAGCGTGATCACATAGGGATATTAGTGATATTCCTTGCATCTGTCGGGACACCAGACAGCGCTACCATACAGGACCTTGAGCCTCGTGGAGACTGCAGCTTTCATCAGTAGATATAGGGGAACAAGACAAACGGCTGACCTATCCATTCGAGGATTTCGCCGTCTTACGGAGGAAAGAGTCCTTTACGCAGTTGTCTATCTGCTGGCGAAAAAAAAAAAAAAAGAATTTGTGCATGTGGACTGAATGGATTCAAGATTCCTAAAACAGGTGCCAAATTCCGATGGAAGATCGGGAACTGGGAACGAGCCACCAAGTCTAAAGAGCTGGGTCGGCAGGTCGGCATCTCGGACGAACTTTTTACTTCCTCTAAAATGACTCCAGCCTCCTGAGTCGAAGTCCAAGCAATGAATAGTAATCATAATAAAAATCTCGGCGTCTGGAGATAAAGCGGACTGGGACTGCGAGGCTGGGTTCAGGCTGACCAGTTTGTCTTAATTTGAGTCAACTGCAATTTTTTCGCGGTGGGGAATCTTGGACCCTCTTTCTTTCTTTCCTGTTTTCCCTTTTTTCTCCCTTTTTTTTTTTCCCTTTCCTCTCGAGCCTTGACACAACCGATCTTTAAATGAAACCATAATAATAATATCACTAAATGTCGTTTGGAACATGTCAACACTGACTCGCGGATCAACTATTGTGGACCATGGTTTCTGTATTGCAAATGGAACCATTATGTAGATAACGAACGGAACGGAATTGCGTACAGGCTACGAAACCCCCGAATTTCAATCGTTTAACCTTCAAAAAAGACACAGGAAGACGCCGATGAACTCTGATCTCAGAAAAAACTGCAAATGCACGCTTTAATTGCTCAGCCAAGAAAAACGGTAGATGGCTCATGATCGCGCAGCTTACCAAGACTACTGTTTGAGTTCGCCGAACGGATATAAAAGTCCCCGTATGCGGCTATGCATGACGTAGTTCTCAGCCTGGGTATTAGTCAACCATGTCTCAACGTCACTCCGCACTTTCAGTTCCTGATCTGCATCGTCGTCCAATCATTCAACCATGATCCATGATCTAATGATGAGACTTATATTAGTCAAAAAATAATGGTCGGCAATGTTTGAGAGGAGTGATCATTGTTGTATCAAAGTTCGATTCGCTCACTATGGTGTAACACTGACAGGCATGAAAAGCCCAAGTCAAACACCGAAACAAAATGAACAAACATGATATGCATTTAAAAGTAGAATTGAGAAAGGAAGATCTTCAAACGCCCCCATTAACGGTTCCATTATCCAAGACCTCCTGTCGTTTTATACCCAACGCCGAGCACCATTGGGCTACCAAATAGTGAGCCCTGGAAAAAAAAAGAAAACCTCCCACAGTAGACATGACGTAGACTGGAAATGAGATGAAGAGAAAGACACTGTACAATATGCGGGGTTGGCCCATTAGATGGACGTTATCTCCGTCGGATTCGGATTCAGAAATTGATTGAAATCGTCGTAGTCACTCTTGGTATCCATGAACGAGGCCGATGCCACGCAGTTTATTGGAATCTGCCGGTTGAACATCGGCGATGATAACTGATCATCGAACGAAAGACTGGTGAAGTCGGAAGCCCCCATCATGTCCATGTCGTCAAAGGTTCCGAAACTGCTGTTAGGCCATTGCGGTGGACCTTGCAAGGCGATGGGGTTTACTACCCCCTGCATCGACAAAGGGGCAATGTATGCGGGATTGTGGGGAGCCATCTGGGGTTCAGGCTTGATCGTCGGTGCCTGGGTACGCGATGCTGGGCTAAGATTTGGAGGCGTGGGAGGAAGTTGATGTCGTGAGAAGGCGTCTGCAAAGCGTGACGTTGTGATGGGCGATTGCGCGCTCTCGGAACTGCCATCGGACGAATCTTGCCGTTGCATGTGGCCGGCATTCTGCTTCCACAATTCCTGCTGCATGACCTCGGTGTTCTCCTCGAAGCGTTCGCCTTTCGTTTGATCGAGAGCGCCAAGCCGTGTGAGTAGATCATGCGTCAGAGGGTGGCCGTTTGCTTCGCATTTCAACGGCTCTCCCGGCCAGCCTTCACCCTCATTGGAGCGTCGATATAGCTCCTGAAGACCGTACACCAGCCAAGCCTGTTGCTGCTCCAACATCTCAACGTACCTGTAAGCGAGACATACATTAGCATTGTTAATGTTCGACACTCCCCGCATGCAAGTTGCCAAAGGTGCAAGCTCACCCCTTGGGGTACACTTTATCATGAGCCTTCTTCCTCTCGCCAAAGACGCAGATGGCATTGTCTGCCCTACACCGTCCACATGGGTTGGCGCCGTCACACTGCACTGGGTCAGCGCCTCAGAGCGCGCTGATGCTTGCTTCTGGACCGTGGCCTGCTTACCTTTGATTTCTTCAATCTACATCGATCGCACGCCTTACACACCCTCTTGCGAACATTGCTGTCCGAATGTGAGTGGTCCGATGTGGGTGACGATTGACGTGCCGTCATTATGTGGTATAGGAAGTATCGATTAAAGTAAGATGCCGTTGACACCAACGAAGGCGCGTGCGATTGTAGGGCAACGCCAATCCAGACGGATCAAACGAAAACTATATCCGGCTATTTCAGACCCCTACTCCCCGGGGTAAGAACAACAGCAATGGTTGTTGAACGTTGAAGGACGGTAAGGTCGGTCAATGATATGACGGACTGGTCAAATGGTGGGGGTAAAGAGCTTAAGTAAACGGAGAATAGATGAGCTCACGAGCCAGTCCCAATAGCCGATAGAGGAATGAAGATGTAATGGAGGGTCGGACAGAACTGGATGGACCCAAGGAAGTGCCAGCAAAGGTTGCAGCGATAAGAAGACAGCGGATTATATAACACAAGGATCTGGAGCTGCTGGTTATAGGTAGTTATCCACTGATCCAAGGTAAAGTAGTAGTAAGTAGCGTAAGGTAGTAGTACTAGTAGTAGTAGTAGTATACTAATAGAGCAGAGGAGCTATGAAGGAGGGAGGACCGACAGCTTTTTAACTAAGATTCTGAGGTGATGATTATTATTATTGGGAAGATTATGATTAATACTTGAGATATTTCTTGATTATTCGAAATTTCTAAGGGAATGAGTAATATTTACTTTTTGTGATTAGCTTCGAATGTACCAATTGGCAATAATCATCCCGAAGCTGCGTCGAACATCTACAGGGCAAGATAGTAGTGTATCCGTTCTACCTGACGCAGCGCCCAAGACTCCAAGAGACCCAGCAAGGCCCAGTAGGCCCAAAGAGGAAATATGGATCTAAGCTAGCTGTGTTCGGTGATCGTTTGACTTTGCAATACATGGTAATACGAGGCGGTATCTCGGGGACCTGGTGTATCATACTCCGGACAGAGTACTGTACGAGTGGCTGTTCATCAATGTTAAGGTATTGACCTATTCACACCTACCTTTGGTTTTGATATCTGATCTAGGCAGCAACTAAATAAAATGACTAAGGCTATTCTGGATCTTCATCAAAACGGCCAAATTAGATTATGAAACCTTTGTGAGGAATACAGAATGTACCTAAGGTAGATCCTGAAATATTTTACCTTACACTGCGAGAAATTTCGGGTACAGAACAACTGGTATCCGTTAATGATACAGTATTCGGA